TTAAAAGGCAAACTTCACATTGACATTAAATATTTTCATTTAGATAAACCAAAATTTACATAAACCTAAAATGTTTTATACCTAAAATTCATTTGACAATAATTTAAGAATTACAAATATTAATGTAAATATGAACAGTTTGAAAAAAAACTAACGATTCACAAAAAAAATTACTTATTTATTAAACTTGATTGTTTGAATACCAATTATTAACTTTTCACTGTGGTAAACTTTATTCTTATTGGCTGTTGTTTGTTTCATATTGACAATAAATATTAATCTATTACTATTCAACGTTATGATAAAAAAAAAAAAAAAAATTGTGAATGTAAAGGGTTTTATACATTATATGTTATTCAAAATGCATTTATGTGAATTTAAGGGGTTTATGAATATGAATGATTCGATAAGTTTTTATTTTGGTACATTGTATATGTTATGTGTTGCTCTTTAATATAAACAGTTATAAACATTTATGAGAATGTGAAGAGTTACGAACAATTTATTAATTTGACTTGATAATTGTGCCTAACGAACCATTGAATCTGTTTCCTTGAACATTGTTCGAACAATTGTTTTGATCTATTGCCATAACTATTTTTACCAATCCTTTTAATAATAATAATTAGACTACCAAATAAATACTTATTACCATTTCATAGCACACTATTCAACAGTTTTTTTTTTTACCTTCTTCAATCCCTGTGATTATTTTTCAACATATGTCTTTTTGTTTTCTATTCATTCAATTGCTATTAAAACTGACTCTTGAATATATCTATTTATAAGGTTAAGCAAATTTGTATTCGTAATGCATTCACAAAATACTGATTTTTTATTGATGCTTTCTACTTTTCATGTGTATTTTGTAATGTCAAACAAAACATTAGATCTGGAGAACTTTGAGAGCGGTACCAGACAACTTACTCATTTGGTTATATTTTTTTATATACATAAACTCTATAATTGTTTAGTTTTCATAAAGTAACAATTTTTTTATTTTTTCAACAGTTGAATCAGCAATACTTAACAGACAGTATGAATTGAGACAGATTATAGAAAATGTTGAAAGCAACGTAGAGAATATAAATACCGAAAGACAGAAAGTGAAATATCTCATTGACAGGTTGGTGGATATCATGCATTCAACAATCATTATTATTTCTAATATGATGATGTTGGAGTTACATATTGCTGCAAATGGAACTAGCAAATCATCACGATAAGAAATGAAGAATGTAAATGTACAAATTTCTTTTATAATAAATAAAATAACAATATATTGAATTCCACAGTACAATAGCAACAGTTTTTGTTTCTCATTAACTTACAATATTCAAATTTTCCAACATCATCTTAAGTTTTTTGTTAACAACCCATATTCGAACAATAATAAATAACATATACATAATATTAACCTAAAAAAATAAAAATATATATTTGCTTAATCTTAAATCAATTTTATAACCTAAAATAAATTATGATAACAAGTAACCCAACTATTAATTAATTTTAAGCATGATAAATTATAATTAGACAATAAATAAGAGAAATTCATAACTATACAAATGTAAATATCATATTCAACACTACAATTTATAAAAAAACAACAAAGTTTCACAAAAACTAATTACACATAACTTATATATCCAATTTCTTTTGCTGGATAGTTGAATTTTGGGGTTTGCGACCACGTTTTTTCCGCGGTTTTGATTGACAAGGCATATCCACTGCATTTTCAGCAAATTTTGAAACATTTGAACTCAAAAACATATCCTTCCATTTCTCCATAGATCCAGAATATGATTCATCATGTTTCTCATGCTACAATAAAATTAAATATTTGTAAGTTATTTATCCAAAAATATAAAAAAATTTATTAGAATGAAATTGTTCTATAATATAAACAAACACATATATGTTATGCAAAAGAACATATATTCAAAACACCTTCCAAACAACACTACTTAAAAAACATGAATCCCGAATAAAAATAATTCAATAAATCAGACAAATATAAAAGCCATAACAAACATACCACTTCAAGTTTACCAAGCAAGGTTTCCAGCTTTAAAGCAAGTTTATGGTTCTTCTAAGTTAAAATTTCAATCTGTTTAACAAAACAACATCAAAAATAAATAAATAAAACAATTAAATCAATACAATAATGAAAATCCATATAAAAAACAATACTTTTACAACTATGCTGATAACACCTATTTCTGCGAACTAAAATATAAACTTTGGTATTGAATTGACAGGTACAAGAATTATCAAGAGAACTAAGCTTGCTTTGTTTACTTTCTATCAGTTCAATCAAGTAATCAATTTTTTGTTCTAGAGTTTCGTTTTTCCTATTGGACTGAGAACTCTCTGTAATCACATATCTTGGTCGTTGATCTTCTTCTTCACTTTCACTATAAACAACAGAATCAATAAGACGCTGAATATCTTTATTTCGCTTTTCATGATCTATTTCGTGAAAACGAATAGAGCGTCTAGGATTAACATTAACAGGGTGCTTTCCTTTCTTTGATGCTTGATTTGAGGTTGACATGCTATCAACAATGCTAGAACAAAAACAAAAGCCAAATATAAAATCAATCTTGCAAAACTATAAAAGCCCAAACATATACTTAATCATCACTCTCATTATCCGCTGTATATTAAACACAGCTTTACAATATAATATGAACAACAGTACAATAACTCAAACAATTAAAAAAAAACCAAATAAAGCTTCACTTTCTTCAACCCTTTATTTCAGATCTCCATGCTACAATCAAATTTCAAAAATGAATCTTGCAAAACTATAAAAGCCCAAACAAATACTTAATCCTCACTGTCATTATCCAATGTATATCAAACAAAGCTACACAATATAAACAAATCAAACAATAAAAAAAGAACGAAAACAAATAGTTACAAACAAAAAAAGAAAGAAAAAGGGACGAAATAAATATTACTTACATTCTTACAAAATTTGTTTAGATACTGCTGAAGCTTTAAACAAACAAAAAACAGTAGTGGAAGAAACCGAAAAAAAAAAAAAAAAAAGATACAAGACGGCAAGGTAGAGACGATGACAATGTATTGAGCAATACCCTAAGTAAATAGTAAACAAAATTGAAATAAAACCTAGCCAAACAATTCATACAACAGTAAAAAAGTTGAAATAAAACTCGGCAGTCTGCCCAACAACTGAAAGAGCATTAACTATCCGGTCCAAAAAATAACAAGTTAAAGTTAATCAAAAAATGTCCAATACAAAAAAGACTATAATTAATAATAACATTTTGAATTAAATATATTTGACAATATATATCCACTATAATTAATTTTAGCAAATTGGATTAAATAATAAGTATATATAAATGTGTAATAATGAAAAAAATTACTATTATTAATTCTATTATCCAATATATCAAGAAATACATACAATAAAATATTGTCTTTTTCACATAAAATTCATAAGTAAATAAACAATCCAAAAGATAAACAATATGTCCAAATCCAGTTTTAAAAGCAACCCATGCAACGCGCGAGCCTCAAACTAGTTCCTATATAATAACATACTCCCTCCGTTTCAAAATATCTATCGTTTTAACAAATTATATAATTTTTAATAAATTAATGATGACATACTTCTCTCTTAGAAGAAAGTAATTTTTTAATATAAATAAATCCTCGTCAATAATTTGTTAGCACTCTTTTCACATTAACAAAAACTGACTCAAATTTTCTCTCTCCTGCTTTGTGAGCTAATTAATTTCATAAAAGTTAAATAAGGTCATTATATTTGTCCCATAGAAGCTTTGCGAGCTAGAAGCTGGTGAGAGGAGAACATTTTGATATCGGTTATCTGAAACAAGAGAGAAATGTGAAGAGTTAATGGCGTTTGAAAGAATGAACAAAAACACAATATATAAATTATAAATTGCAAGATGTAGAAGAGGCTAACATGAGCTGTGTTTATGGTTCTTCATAACGAACTAAGATCGGTGTTAGTTTGAGTTGTGGAGATAGATTTAAAATTAGACAAGAGGGATTTTGAATTTGCTAGAAATAAAGGACACACCAAGAAAGAGAAAGAGAGAGAGGAGACATGGGCCATAAAACGAGAAAGAGAGAGGGTCGCTCAACTTTTTTGTCAAACTACACTTATTTTAGAAAAAAATAATAAGTCTAAAACAACATATATATTGAAACGGAGGGAGTATTATTTAAGAACAAGTAAACATTACATGTTTTAATCATTTGCTATGATCTAATAGTAAGATCTTAGATTACTAAAGTTTTGTGTTCGAGTCTTAATGAAGTATTTGCGTAACTGCATAACATGAGATTGTCTCACAAAGTTTTCATTTATTATATTTGTGACTCATCTGTCTCATTGAGTTTCTAGGATATTCAATGGGGCGTAAATTGATCTCGACATTCTAAAATATATATATAGTACTGTATTACATGTTTTTTAATCAAAATATAAAAGGTAATACTAATTACCCAATTTGGTCAGCTTGCAAATGAGTTATGTCTGTTTATTCATTTACGATTAATTAGTAATTACGAACTGTCATATTAGATTATGAAAAAAAATTTATAAGATTGAATTGTGAGTCAATCTTTATTAAAATATAAATGGTAGCCGCTGGACCACCCGCACCCGAGGCCTGCACGTGGCTGTCAATTATCAAACATAGTGACATAGTGTTTTGTGGCAACAGTTCCATAATTTTTTTTGTATATAAAACTAATGGAGACGTAAGTGATTTAAACAGAAGTTAAAATAATATCAAACCGACGAATGTTCCGTTTTTTAATCAGATCTTTTCACTTAAATAAGATCCACAAGGACGACAAGCCTACGTTAGACTCTGTTACCAACTCAAATTTACCACCAAACACCCTCAATCATCAAACCCAACCAGGGCACAACAGTAACTCCATTACCAAACTCGAGCGCGTCTAGATCCCAATTCAAATTCCCGCTAATCCAGCTCTTATTTTTAAACTTTTAAAACCACAACGCCCTCCTTTCAGATCCCTCCCTTTCAAAATTTTTACCCCGCCAACGCCAATAGTCAACCCCCCTTCTCTCTCTTCTTAACGGTCCTCCCCCTTTCCCCCCTTTCTCAAGCCGCTCCGCCTCTCTCTACAATTCTCTTTCTATCACTCTCTCAAGGATGCCGCAATCTTCTTCCAACAAGATTCAAGATCCTTCTTCTAGACACTACACTTATAGCCGCAAACAGAAATCTCTTGGCCTTCTATGCTCAAAGTATTTTTCTTTGTTTTTGTTTGTTGATTGGAGAAGTTTCATTATGATTCTTGACGTTTATACTTGTTGTTGATTTGTTTTTCGCTTTATTTGCAGTTTCTTGAGCTTGTATAATCGAGAGGGCGTTGAGTCGATCGGTCTTGATGACGCAGCGACAAAATTAGGTTTTGATCTGATTTTGAATTTCGTATATTTATTTTTGAAACGTTGTGATTGTGTAGGATTTAACTGGTTTGAGAGATTGCAGGTGTCGAGAGACGGCGAATCTACGATATTGTCAATGTTTTGGAAAGCGTTGGAGTAAGCTTCTTGCTCTTTCCCTTTTTTTTTTTTTGGTTCTATTTTCCTAATCACTTCATTATAATTATGCAAATCTGTGCTTATCTCTATTGATATTAAATTAAGCTTATTTGGTTAATTTAGGTTCTTGCAAGAAGGGCAAAGAATAGATACACATGGAAAGGGTTTAAGGCAATCCCTAGGGCTTTGCAGGAGCTAAAGGTAATTTTATTTTGTTTTTCGGGTTTATACTATTTTTTAAAGGTTGATATTTTATATGAAAAAATCTAAATGATTTTGTTTGGTTTGATTGTAGGAAGAAGGTTTGAGGGATGCTTTCACTACCTTCGATGCCAACAATAATGCAAAAGTAGGTCAATTAGGGTCGTTGCAATGCTATAATTTGATGGTAAATTTTTTTTTTTGGGGGATTTTGAAGTGAAATTCATGGCGTTTATTATTATTTAAGGTGTCGGATGATGAGGATGATGATGAAGAGGATGAAAGTTCATCTAATCCCAATACTGGAAGCCAAAGCGATAGTGTGAACGCTAGGCCTCTTCCAAAATCTTCAAAAAACGGTAATTGAAGGAGTTTTTTTTTTTTTTTTTTTTTTTTTNTCGGATGATGAGGATGATGAAGAAGAGGATGAAAGTTCATCTAATCCCAATACTGGAAGCCAAAGCGATAGTGTGAACGCTAGGCCTCTTCCAAAATCTTCAAAAAACGGTAATTGAAGGAGTTTTTTTTTTTTTTTTTTTCTTTTTTAATGTAACTTTTTTTTAAGGATACAATAACTACTCATGCTTTTTTTTACTTGCAAATGCTTTAACTCAAAGCTTTAGATCGCTTTAGTTTGCAAAATTGATGACTAATGATATAAAGTGACTCTAATTTTAATGTTTTCGTATGGATTGAGTTCTTTATATGCCCTTGAATTGGGGACGGTGCTTTGTGTTTGTCTCATAAGTGTTCATTATTCATGAGCAATGGACGTTGTAATTATCAGAGAACTCGGACGCAATTAAGTGACATGTTTCAGTCAGACTTATATGTATGTTTTCTTCACAGATAGCAGAAGAGAAAAGTCTCTTGGGCTTCTAACACAGAATTTTGTCAGGCTCTTTGTCAGCTCTAATGTGAGTGAAAACTCAGGAATTTTCTTTTAGGACTGCCATTATCTTGCAATGTAAGTATTAATAGTATGTTGTTTTGTTTCTCAGGCAGATATGATCACCCTCGATGAAGTTGCAAAGTTACTGCTCGGGGATGCCCACAATTCATCAATAATGAGAAGTAATTGAAGTCTTAACTTAGATTGCTTTTTTTGGACCCGCCTCTGTAATAAAGAGAAACTGAGAACTCCTGTGACTGACATTTTGTTTAATTAATTCTGCAGCGAAAGTAAGGAGGTTGTATGACATTGCTAATGTCTTGTCTTCCATGAATCTTATTGAGAAGGTAAACAAAATATCATAGATTAGTACTCGTTGGCAAAGGATATAGAAACTACTTGATATCTGTATTTTAGTTCTCTAGAATTCGACCAAACTTATTTAAACACTAATGCAATTACACAGTTTTCTTAAGTTTCAACTTTTTCTATGCAGACCCATACTACAGATAGCAGGAAGCCAGCTTTCAGGTGGTTGGGGGTTAAAAAGTTGGAGATTGGTTATGCTGATTCGTTGATCCTTAATGAATCTAAGAAGAGAACATTTGGAACTGATGTTACTAACATCAGTTTCAAAAGGAACAAAGTGGACTCTTTGATAGATGGGAATATAAGCCAAAGTATTAAAATGGAAAATCAACTGCAAGTTGATGATTTGATAAAGGTGGTTGATAGAAGCAATGTTGAAAATGATGGAAAACAGTGTCCAAGCAGTTACCAGTTTGGTCCTTTTGCTCCGGCAATTGTGCCGGAAGTTGATCCCTTAAAGAATAATGCAAAGAGGACATATGACTGGGAGGGTTTAGCTTCTGTGTATTGTCCTCAATATCACAACCAAGGTATGATCTGATACTTCATTATGATCTGTGAAGTGATTTTGAGTGTTGATGTTTAGGATTCACCCAATTAATGTACACAGATGTATCAGAGTTTATGGGAACAAATAAATCGAGTAAATAAAAAGATATTGGTGGAGGTGTCAAACTATTTGTACCTCATCAATCTGTCAGTTATCCGATTTCTGCTTCTTGACCCTTTAAATTTTGATTGGTAATTTCTGAGAATGACTGTTCAATATATGGATTACATTAATAAATGCTTCTTCCAGTAATATTGAGCTTTTCTTTCAACAACACTTTGTTATGGTCAATAAGTTTGTTTAACCTGACATCTGCATTTCCAGGTCTCTAACAGAGTGTTGAGACTGGAATTTCAAGAAAATGCAGCAGTAATGATTTCTTAATCTACTCTTAGTAGTTAGTTCATTCGCTGTTAAAATATTTGAACTGGATGGTTAAGGTTTTGCCTCCTGTTTCAATTTGAAGACTCAATCTTTCATCTGTCAGCTCATTAAAGACGTTTACTTTATTTAAGTAATGCTCTTAAAAGTTATATCTTTTACTATTTAAATATCTTACTGTTGACAATTTGGAAGGTGTACTAATTGCTGGTTTTGCTAATACTATTGCAGCTCTTAGAGACCTTTTTTCTCATTATGTGGAAGCTTGGAAATCATGGTACACTGAAGTTGCTGGGAAGAAGACAATACAACAAATTTCATGAATGCTTTGCCTCCTCTTAAACTTTCCTAATGAGCACATAATTCATTACAGCATTGAGATCAGATTCCTCTCAGACAAGAAGAGATGGCCTCATGTTGGATGCATGCTATGCATCAATCAACATAGGAATGGCTATCCTCAGAGTAGTTTTATTCTAGTGCCCACACATGTACACATTTAGTCAATGTGCTAATTCATTATATTGCAATTCCATCGACCATGTTCTTTCAATCGTTTATCTTAGCAGAGGCTGAGAATGTGCTGTATCACCTGGTTATGGTTTGATATGCTATGTCTATTATGCTTACTGCGCTAGTTTTGGTTTTATTTTGAAAATGAATTATCACCCAAGTGTGGAGCAGCTGAGGCAAATAACTATTCCACACTCGAGGAACTATACGAGTCTATAGATCTCTTGAAGGAACCGAGTTGCCTGTTGGGTTTCTTCTTGGTTGCTTTATGCCCTCAGTTTCAGAAGTATTAAAGTTTTGAGGTGCCAAAAAGGTGTCCTTAACTGGTAATGCTCCTTAAAACTAACTAATCTGGTGACTGATATTGTTTTTGACATTCTTGACATTACATTGAAATTGAGTGACTTCACAATACATTGGGACTTTTGGGAATGTAAAGTGTAACTTTGGAAAACGGTCAAGCGACACTCACTGTCTCAAGTAACAAGAAGTTAAATTGTAACTAAAGGTAGAAAAATAACTTGCCCGCCCGGCCCGTGGCAGGTTATGCAAAACAGTGGGTTGGGCCTAACACGGCCCTTCAACAAGGACAGGTCGGGTTAGGCCTACCTCTTGGCCAAAAGGGTTGGCCTAGCCCGGCTTGTCAACCCTAACCCGACAGGTTTTGATGCAGGTCAGGCTGCGCAGATTTTTTTTTTTAATTTTTAATTTTGTTTTCTTTTGTATAATTGTTTTTAGTTAACTTTTCAAATATCAATAATTCAATTAAATTAATTTTTTTTTGTTAACATTTTAAATATTAATTCAATTTTAATATAATTAAATTGTAATATAAGAAAAATTAGATTTATTTATTTATATAAAAATAATATAAGAAAATACAACAATTATTGACTCGTTAAAAACCTTATCAAGAAAAACCTAATTGAGACAAAAACTTGGTAAGGAAAAAAGAGTACAATAATTGACAATTAATTTACAAGTTATAAAGTTATAATTTACAAAACAACTAATTTGGGGGTTGACTAGAACCTCTTTCATCCGTATCATATATATTATAAAATTGAAATGATTCTATTAAAGTATCGTCAACAACCTCGTATTGATTCTGATGGTGCGACTATTCTCAATCTCGAAGACATGTGATGATTTCAATCATTTTTTTGTGAAAGTTTAGTTCTCTTTTCATTTAAAATTCTTCCACTTGCATTAAATGTTTGTTCGGATGAGACGGTTGAGACAGGAACAGAGAAAACATTCAGGGCAAGTCTTGATAATACTCGAAAAATACATTTTCTGGTTTTCCAATATTTTAAGACATCAAAGTTGACTCTTTGTTGTGGATTTGCTGGTAGCACGTCGGGGGGTTCCCAAATATTGGTGAAGCTCATTACTCTGTAGCTGCATGGAGGACAGTACATTCGTTGTTGATGCTTCTGAAGAGGAGGCTGTGCTTCGGGTTTTGGTCCTCTTCGGCTTATTAAGTGCACTCCAGGAGTTAAAGTCTTCATTTGTTTATTCTGATGCTACTTCCTCAGGTATTTCGCCTCTTTGCTGGTTCCCATACCTATTTCATATTGCAAAAATACCTCTGTAAGACACTCTCTTATCTCTCCTAATTGATTGGCATATGCTTTGTCTCATAAATTTTCACTTAACATGTCTAAACCATTTTTTAAAAGCGCTAATTTAATTCTAGGATCAAATATGGCAGCTAAACAATAAAGAAAATGAATGAGTTTACAATATTTTTTAAATTTTAATTTCATTGCCTTTATTGGTCCCGCTAAAATTTCATTGTTTCTGTTTTTTTTAAATAAATCTGAAATTTTTATCATGTATGTATTACCAATGGAATAGTAGGATAATACACACTAGAAAGTTGTAAAGTGGATTGATAAAATTTTTTAAGAAAAGAATGAAATTTTTTAGCTATATGCCAATCACTCTCTACCAAATAATGAAGACCTCTATTATTTGTTACAAAATAACTAATTAAATTTACATAAGATAAACATGAATCAAACTTAAATAAGTAATATTCCATTTAACAAGCATGTCTAATGTAAAAGTTCTAGGAGACATATTTGATTTTATACAAGCATCTTGAAATTTAACATTTCTTCTATTACTACTAGTAATCCAAGCTAAAGAATCTTTAATTCTATCAATATTATTTCTAATTTTTTTTTTCATACCACTTTTCACATTAAATTAATAATGTGATATGCACAATTTTGGTGAAAAAACTTCAAATTGTTATAAAAAGGAAAATTTATTTTAAAAAAATCTATAGCTCTACTATTAGAACTTGCATTATCTAAAGTTAAACTTATCACTTTATGAACAACATCATAATCTTCTAAAACTTCAACAATTTTATTATAAATTTGTTGACTACTATGATCCACATCCATTAATCTAAATCCCAATAAAGATTTATTTAATTTACATTTGTTATCAAAATAATGACTAGTCACACAAATATAATCTTGTTTATCTCTATCATTCCAAATATTGGCGTTTAGAGCCATACTAACATGACAATTATGTATTTTATTTTTTAATTCTAATTTCATTTTCCAGACAATTTTATTAAATCATTTCTAGTTGCAATTTTAAAATAACTTTTAAATTTTTGAAAAAATGATTTTTTAATAAATCTTTCAAAATATTTATCTTCAGCCATATTAATAGGTTGATCAGTTGCATCAATATATAAAACTAATTGTTCCCTATATACATCAAAATTATAATGCCAAGTAGTACCCATATTAGTTATTTGAGTTTGATTGGTTTTTGTATTTTCATATTGAGTAATATGTTTATTAGCATGCATTTTTAAAGTACTAGTATCATTACTTGCATCAGCTTTATAAATATTTCTACAATACTTGTATCTTGCTTTCTTCATGTGAACTTCATTTTCTGTCTTGTAAAACTTATCAAAATGCCCCCAAACGTCTAATGTGTGCCTATCGTCGGTTTCGACTGCAGTTGATGAACCTGCTTTTGCATGAGATGGAGTTGGAAGAGCACGATGATTATAAGGACGACTTCTAGAACCACCAGAAGCTGTAGCAGCATGGGGAGGAATGGAGGGAATATTATGAGGTGTATCGGATTCTGAGAATGGGAAAGTGAGACTATTTGAATCTACTGTATTTACATTAATAAATTCATGGGGACTATGATAATTTCCTTCATCATCGAAATTGATGGGATGAAAATATCTATCCATTATAGTTAAAAAAAAAAAAAAATTGGATATAGAAGAAATAAAAATTAAAGAAGGAGAATTGGAATTTGGAAATATGAATTGAAAATTGCAAAAACTAATAAAAATTAAAATGAGAGCAAATTGACAACAAAGAGAATAATTGAGATATTTCAATAGAGAAAATGAGAGAATTTGGGATGTGAGAAAATATGAGAGTTTAGGCCCTATTTATAGAAAAAAAATGGGAAAAGAAAATGACCAAAAAGACCCTTCCAACTGTTATAAGAAGGCTATATTTCAAGGGTAAAAGGGGTATTTGAAAAAAAAATTAATTAATTAATTTTTTTTTAAAAAATTTGTCAACGGCCAACCCGTCGGGTTGGATGGGTTTTTTAAAAAAAAAATATACAACCCGTCGGGCTGCTGGGTTGGTCTATGAATGTAACAACTATTGTAAACTAATACAATGCATGCATAATAACAATAGAAAATTGGGCCCAAAAACTTTCTTTTCATTATAAGTCATATGTCTTTTATATACAAAGAGTATTGTTTACAAAAAGTCATTTTAAAAGACAAACAGGGGAAACAGTGTAGCTATTGCTCCTCGCTTGCCGACGCCCCTCCGACTGCATCAACACTTAGATCCTGCATCCACAAAGGAAAATAATGGGGCGAGCACAAAATAATGCTCAGTAAGTAAAACCCTCTATCTGTCTATCCCCGTATGTATTACTCTTAATTCTTTCCTCACACTTTCTGTTGTTTCTTACTAAACATCATGGCCTCATCTTACCGGAGGTACGGCCGGATGGCGTTCACACAGCACCATCTCACTCTTCATGACTATCGGGTGGAATTCACACAGCACCAACCCGTTCTTAGTGACTACCGAGTGGGGATCACGAAGCACCTACCCGGTTTTCGTAACTATCGGGTGGAGACCACATAGCACCTACCCGTTCCTCATGACTTTCGGGTAACGATCACCAAGCATTAACCCGTTCCTAATCACTGTCGGGTGATGATCACAAAGCATCAACCCACTTCTAATAAATGTCGGGTGATGATCACAAAGCATCAACCCCTTTCTAATAACTAACCGGGTGATGATCACAAAGCATCCACCCGTTTCTACTACCTATCGGGTGATGATCACAAAGCATCAACCCATTTCTAATGGCTATTCGGGTGATGATCACAAAGCATCAACCCGATTCTCATAACTGTCGGGTGATGATCACAAAGCATCAACCCGATTCTCATAACTGTCGGGTGATGATCACAAAGCATCAACCCATTTCTAATACTCTTCTCATTCACTCTATTCTAGCACTTCTCATTCTCTCTACCCTTAGAGTAGTTGCATCCACAAAGTTCTCTACTCATAGAGCAAGTGCATACACAAAGTTTCCTACTCTTTCTTAGGTCACTTCTCAATGCACAATTAATGCTTATGGATGGTTCATCTCCACTAATGCACTTATGAAATGCCAACATGCAATGTTGCAAGAATTAAGGTTCACTACTCATACTCAAACCTCTATTAGGCATTTCATCAAACAACTCAAGTGCATAATAAAACTCTACTATAACAATAATTCTAAATCTTTCTCTAACCATCCAAAATGGGGAGAAACCCCCTCACATAGCCACATATCCTGCCAAAGAAAGACACTTCCAAAAGGATTCCTCAAACCCCTTCAATTCCATCTCAAACTACCTTTCCAACCCACATCTCACTTCTTATATTTGCAATGTATAAACAATCACAAAGCACTAGAAATCTCTATTTAAGCCTCAATAACATGGCATATAACATGTATATAACATACATACATAAGTGCTATCAAAACCCT